TTCTTAAAAGCAATGTATTTTTATAAAAAATCCTGGGCTGGTGGTGTATCTCAGGAGTAAAGTGTGAGGCTTGTGTCAACTCCCAGCACCAAAATAAACAGAAAATCCTTTATCTATAGTGTTTACCATATAGTAAAGCTCAATGAGTGTTTGAGAAAGTCAATAACCTTGGTATTATCATTTATCCTAACAGAATGCATGCAACATCCACTGAATTAACTGAATTCCTACTATGATTTAGGCACTTGGAAAAAGGATAAGAGTTAGGCACAGGTGTTCCAGGGTACTAAGGAAACTGAGTTCTAAGGATTGCAATTCAAAGACAGGAAAGTTTGTGAGACTCTTATCTCCCAAGTAACCACAAAAAAACCCAGAAGTGGAGCTGTGGGTCAAATGGTAGAACAGCAGCCTTCAGCAAATAAGCTAGGGACAGCACTCAAAGCCTGAGTTCAGGGTTTATGCCACACACAAAAGATGAGAAAGAAATTGTTTTTTTTCTTGAGTTCAGAAAATAACATAGTGATTAAGAATGCAAATTGTGATTGTGAGTCAATTATTTAAATATATGTTTCAGTTTCCTCATGTGCAAGATGATGCTTTTAACATAAAATTTATTCTTTACAAGAATCAGTAACATAAGCTACTAGGTAATGCAATCATACAACCCCTGCTCTACCTTTTTGGCGATACTGGTCTTTGAACTTAGGGTCTGTAATTTGCTCTATTGGCATGCTACATCTTAAGCTACACCTTGTCTTTTACTGCTTATTTTGGAGATAGAGTATAGCAAGCTTTTCTGTCTCTTGAGTATCTAGGATAACCAGGCATGAGCCACTGTCTCCAGTTAATATCCTCTCTCTCTTTCTCTTTTTCTTTTTGCAGTACTGGGATTTGAATCCAAGGCTTTACACTTGCTAGGCAAGATAGTACTGCTTGAGCCACACCTCTAGCTATTACAGTTTTTTGAAATGACTAAAACATTATATTTGAAGCCATCAGTCCAGTGACAGATATTGTAATAATTGTTATTATAAATATTGGCCAAACACAGAAATTACCACAATGCAAACAGAAATTTTTAAAGCCATTGGATGGTTTAAGTTTCATAGAAAATATAACTGTGTACCTTGAAGATAAACTAGGAAAGTCTTCAATGTTAAAGCCTTAGAAATCAAGGAGTCCTACATCTGGAGTCAAAAGCCCAAATATGATACCATGCATGGAGTTACTGTACCAGAATTTAGGGACTCTAGTCACATATTAGAATTACCTTGAGATGTGTGTGTGTGTGTGTGTGTGTGTGTGTGTGTGTGTGTGTGCTAGTACTGGGGCCTGGGCTCTGTCTCTCAAGGTCAGTGCTCTACCACTTGAGCCACAGCTCCACAACCAGCTTTTGGTGGCTAATCGTAGGTAAGAGTCTGATGGACTCTTCTGCATAGGGCTTCAATCCTGTGATGCTCAGATTTGAGCCTCCTGAGTAGCTTGCATTTTTCACCTTGAGATTGTAATGTGCAAGCAAATAGCTATCTTTCACTCTTCTCCCCCACTAATTAGAATTTCTAGTAGATCTTTGCACAATCACAGTTTTAAACCTATCCAAGTAATTCTGATGTGCAGCTAGAGTGGACATCTACTGAATTTTACCCAATGAGGGCAAAAAGGGCTAACATTTACCATCAACCACATTAATTGTTACAGTGGTCAGTTTCTTAATAAAAAGCGTATTATTAAACAAATGCTGGCTAGTAGCGCAAACAGGATGACTAGGATTGGGAGGTGGGGGAAGATTAAAAAAAACCAAGATACTTTCCTTGTTAGGCGTTAATTCATAACAGATTTTACCCACGATTAGGTTAGAATTGTAGGCCAAATGGTAGAGGGCCAACCTTAGGCGAAAAAGCTAAGAGACAGTGCCCAGGCCCTGAGTTCAAGCCCAGCATACACACGAACACACACAGAGAGAATTTATCCAAGAGCACAGGTCAAGTCAGACCAGGTGGGGAATAAACCCACTTCTTTCAAATTAATTGATCTTCTAAAAGGAAAGCACACTGGAGATGTGCTTTTAAAAATGGCTAAGATCATGGGAAGAGAGAAGGAGAGTACTAATCCAAGCTAAAGTAATCCCAAGAAACGAATAACGGTCTTCAGCTTTCCCAAGCAGCCAGAGAAAAGGAGAGCTTGAACTCTATTCTGAAAGGGAGAAAGGAGGCCAGGGGGGAGGGAAGGAGAGCAAAGCAGAACTAACCACGCATGCGCCTCCCCCTGGCGCCGCGGCGTCAGAACAAGCTAAGGGCGGCGAGTTACGACCTCTTGCGGAGACATCACGACACCTGCCGTAAAGGCCGTCTGTGTGTGCGTGCGCCCCGTTTCCCGGGTGCTGGCCGCGGCTGTGAGGGACCCGGCTGTGCCGCGCGGCGCTCACGTCACGATGGTGAAGCTGAGCAAGGAGGCCAAGCAGAGGCTGCAGCAGCTCTTCAGGGGCGGCCAGTTCGCCATCCGCTGGGGCTTTATCCCTCTCGTCATTTACCTGGGTCAGTGCCAGGAGAGCGGAGGTCGGAGGCTCGCGCGGCTGTGACTTTGCTCCGGGACCCGGCACCGGGGACCCCAGGGCGCCCGACGGCGTCTCGTCTCGTCGGGTGGATGGGACTAGTCGGGTGGGCTTTAGCAGCGCACCCGGCTCTTCCCCGTTCACCTGTGAAAATGGAGGCGCGGGCTGTTTTCAGGGTGGCTGTGAGGTGTCCGGAGCTGCGCGGCGGCTGGGGTGGGTTTTCAGGGCGTTTGACCCCCCCCCCCCGCGGGTCTAACGTGGAAAGAGCTGGCCTGGGAGTGAGTGCCTTGGAGGCCACGGTCATTGCCACTACAGTAGTTGGATGTTTTTGTCTTCTCACTCGGTTGGGTGATTTTTTTTTTTTTTGTCGGTCGTGGGGCCTGAACTCTGGGCCTGGGCGCTGTCCCTCAGCTCTTCAGCTCAAGGCTAGCGCTCTACCACTTGAGCCACAGCACCACTTCCGGCTTTTTCTTTTTGCTTATGTGGTGCTGAGGAATCGAACCCAGTGCCTTGAGCATGCAAGGCAAGCGCTCTACCACTGAGCCACCTTCCCAGCCCCTTGTTTCAGATTCTTTAAGTACATTATGCATCGTTGTTACTTCAGTCCTTCAGAGCAAGATACAGTGGATGGTGGAATACTTCTTTCTCTAAGCCAGTCTTTCCATCTACTGGGTCCCATGGTCTGACTTGTTACTTAGCATCATGTAACTGTTCTCTCCTTTTTTTGGAAGAAGTTTTCCTTTCAAAGAGTAGTACCATGTGTGTCTTAGCATGTCTAGGTTTATGGTTATTCTGTTTTCCCGAATAAAATTCTCCAACAAGTGAGGCTTTCTTTCTTTACCTCTCTCTCTCTGCTTAACATTTTATTTTTTTGAGAGGTTGAAATGAGAGTCTATTAGAAAGCCGGTGACTATGAACAGACTCACGTACCCCCGAAAAACATGCAACATGTAGTGTAGTTAATGCTGTTAGTTAATGCTGAGCAGTGAAGGTATAGAGAAAGAGCAGAAAACAAATCTCAACAAACCAGATCAACTCTAATAGAGTTGTGACCTGACAAGAGTCAGGAGTCAGGAGGAGAAACACAGACATGAGACGTGGTATGAGACGTGGTGGCAGAGGTGGAGGGGTCATGGTCAGAGGGCAAGGTCACATGGAGCTTGAGAGTGCAATGAGTTTATGGTACAGACCTGGCAGGTCTGGGAACCTATTGTCCAAGTCCCTGCCATCTGCTTCTAGGAGTTTAGGTGCCTATCACCTGGGGGTGGGCATGGGGAAGTGGATTCCACCTCCAGAGCCCTGGGAAAGTCTCCATCATCCACCAAAATGCCAACATGGCACCAGTTAGACCCAGTATCTATCCATATGTCAGTAAGAACTCTGCACAATCTCTGCTTAAGCAGAGATTAACATTTTATTGCATGGCTTAAAACTGTCCTCTGGGAAAAGCAGCATGCTACGTAATAGTACATGCTAATCCCAGCATGTGCCTTTGCCCTTTTGGCTTAATGTCCGGAATGCTCTTTTCCCTATTTCCATCTGATGAAACCTTTTTCAGGAAAGCCCAACCTCAATGTTAGCTCTTTGCTAAATGTCTTCTACTTCTGGCTTAAAGTGATTGCATTTCTATGTTCCCATAGTATTCTTTCACATATGCCATTCTGCCTTGTATTATGCTTGCTGCTTATGTACATTACCTTTTTTTTTCCCTGCTTAGGTCCAACTTAGCTGCTCAACAAATGTCGAATTAACTAAATGACTCTAACCCTTGGTCTTTGTGTCTTGGGGAATCTCAGACCCAGGGGTGGGGATGGAATAGCTGCTATTCTTGGAGAAACTTTTGGACCTTCAGAGTTACAGAAAGATGAGAGCAACTTCCTTAAAGTTTTATTTCTCTACCTTACTGTCTTTTTAGTGCTTCCTCTTTTCTTGTGCTGACTTTCTCAATCTGTGTCAAATAGGGTGTGTTCTAATTTCCTTCCTTCCTTCCAAGATATACTTGCATTTTAGGAAAGAATTGATTTCCTGCAAGGGTTATCTAGTTACACAATTTCATATTCTTTGCTGGCTGCATTGGGGTGGCTGGAGAGGTCTTGCTTGGTTGCCCACTCTGTATCCTGAAAGGAACAGAATTGATATAAAATTTAATGTTAATATAAATTTTATTGCTTATACACAAATTTAGTATTACTCTTGGAGGTACTGGGGTTTGAACTCAGGGCCTTGTACTTGCTAGGCAGGTGCTCTTCCAGTTTGGTCTCTTTTTCCTGGGGCTTTCCTGGACTGTGATCCTCCAATATGTACTCCTGTGTATCTGGAATCACAGGTGTGCACCACTGCTCCCAGCTTTTTTATGGTTGATATAGAGACTTACAAACTTTTGCCTGGATTGGGCCTGAACTACAGAATTAGGTGAAGTGGGAATGGAGGCTAATTTCTCCTGGAAATGTGAATAGGCCAAGGTATTCAGAGTACTCAGGTTTCATATAATCATTTCAAGGTCTGCATTTCCACAGCTTTTGTTGTTGTTGTTGTTGGACATGGGGACTGCACTCTGGGCCTAGGGGCTCTCCCTCAGCTCTTCAGCTCAAGGCTAGCACCCTATCACTTAAGCCACAGCACCACTTCCAGCTTTTTTCTGCTCATGTGGCGCTGAGGAATTGAACCCAGGGCCTCATGTATGCAAGCCAAGCACCTTACCACTGAGCCAGCTTTCCAGCCAAATTTTCACAGCTTTAATGCAGGAATCTTAACTGGGAGTTAAGTGGGTTTCCATACAGAGTGTGGCTCACCGAAGGTCTTCAGTCAGTGTTATTTTAGTATTGATGCTGAATCTCGTGATCAAGGTTTATTATCTGAACTCCTCCATTATTCTAGTCAATACAGTTATACATCATTTGCTGTTTTACTGATCACATTTTATACATCAATATACACTTTCCTTTTTGTTTCTAATAGGTAATCTCACATAAAAGTAAGACAACTATTTCTTTAAATGCTGTTCGGAATGTTTGAATATTTTGTTTTGTTATTTAATTCTTGTCTTCAGAACTGCATTTGACAGATGAACAAACACATAAGTATACAAAATACTTGAATTCTTCAGCTGTGTTTATTCAATTTTGTTTCAGCGTTTAATGTATTTTTCCTCTTCACAAACCTTTTAGCCTACTTTGGGGATAAAGGACTATTTGGTCATCTGGACTTGGAAGCAATCCTGAACAGAAACACCATGGAAGGTGTGTGCTCTGGATGGGATAAGACATGGGACATCGTTCAGGTGGCCAGTCTTCATTTGGATGGCACAGGGCTCTTCACAGATGCATCTATGAAGGAGTGGAACCTCTACTGACTTATTTATCATACATAGACTATCAAAATAAATATTTTCAACAATGTTATGTCTTGAGTCTTTTCTGAATTAAGCGTACTAAGACCATCAGGTAAAAATAAAGCCTTTTGCTACGTTTTCAGAACAAGTAGTGTATGCATGTGCCTTGATGCTGTTGCCTTAAAAAGTAAAAACATCCATGTCGGTTCCTGGCTATCACTTAACAAAAGAGATTCCTGTTTCTGTTGCAGTGAATCAACAGTTCCTTTAGAAATGGTCTGAGGTTAATAAGGGTGGGCTCACCTCTTGTATTTTAATACATTGAAGTAAAGTTCTGACTACAAGAAAGGGGATTTGATTGTCTGTATTGCTAGGGATGGAAATGGCATTGTGGAATTGTATGTGTAATTTGTTTGTAGGTTAAATGTGAATCCATTCTTTTTCTCAGTGGTGTTGGCAAATTACTACTGGCCAGACGAGTCCCAAAGGGATTGTACTACATGATACTTTTCTGGTAAAAAAAAGAAGCAGTTCAAGATAACTGGTTTCTTGGAACCTTTTCCTATAGTTTTTTTCTTGAGATAGGCTTTACTATGTCCTTCAGGTTAGTCTTGAACTAAAATCCTCCTGACTCTGCTTCCTGGATGCGGAGATTATAGGTATGTGCCACCATGGCCAGCTTTTTTTTTTTTTTTCTCATGATGGGCTTCAACTTAGATCATGGGTGCTGACCCTAACCCTCTTTGTACTCAAGGCTAATGCTCTACCACTTGAGCCATACCACTTCTAACCTTTTCTGAGTAGTATATTGGATAAGAGTCTCATGGAATTCTTTGTCTGGGCTGGCTTTAAACCATGATTCTCAGAGCTCAGCTCCCTGAATAGCTAGGAGGCATGAGCCATAGTGCAGAGCTATGGCCAGCCTTTACCTGCATTTGAAACGTTTTCATTTGTCTATTTTTATTTATTTATTTTAGCTTTTTTCATCCTCTTATAACCCTGTTTACTTTAGGATGTATAATTAATGAGCTAAAATAGATCGTGAAACAAAATATAACAAAGTTAAGGAAGGGCCCATGGACTATATGTGTTTTGTATGTAGTACTTAAGTTGAGAACAATCACTTTGAATGTAATCTAAGAAGCCTAGAGCAGTTATTACTAGAAATTTTTTTTCCTGTTGGGCTTGAACTCAGGTCCTAGGTGAAAAATGTTTCTTTTATTTATAATATAGACACATAATTTGTGCCCTCAAATAGATAGCTTGGGCTCTCCATGAATCTCTCTGTACTCAATGCTAGCACTACCACATTCCCAGCCCTTAAAGGGAATTTTTGAGAGCGAACTGTAGTGAATAATTTTTAGTAACTGTCATTGTCTCAGTATCAGGATCTATTATTTTGCTAAAAACAGTATAGTGTGTGTGTGTGTGTGTGTGTGTGTGTGTGTCTGTCTGTCCGTCTGTGTCTGTCTATCTGAGTGGCACTGGGTATTGAACCCAGGGCTTCAGTTTCTTGTACTTCTTGCGCTATGCCTGAGCCCTGGAGCAGTTTTTAAGTCCCATAGAATTGGTAAGTTTGAAGCCTTCTTCCCATATTCTGTTTTTGTTGTGGTATTTGCACATTCCTATTCAGTTAGTATTCTGTGCATTCTTTGTCACGCTGGATTTCTAGAACTGAGAAAGTAAAACTGGGGCAGTTGTCCCTTTTACAAGATAGTAACAAGGATAGCTGTCTACTGATTTAAAAGTGAAAAATCAAGGATGAATATCAGTTGTGTCATTTCAAAGAAGTTACATAGGTAGAATCATTAATTTTTGTTTTTTTTCCCCAACTTAATGTAATTCTCTATCCATCCAGGTTATGTGTATCAATAATTGATTCCTGCTTTATGC